TTTTTTTTTTTTTTGAGACAGATCCTCAAGCTGTCACCCTGGGTAGAGTGCTGTGGCATCACAGCTCACAGCAACCTCAAACTCCTGGGCTTAAGTGATTCTCTTACCTTAGCCTCCCAAGTAACTGGGACCACAGGTGCCTGCCACAACACCTGGCTATTTTTTGGTTGCAATTGTCATTGTTGTTTGGTGAGTCCAGACTAGATTCGAACCTGCCAGGTCTGGTGTATGTGGCTGGCACCTTAGCCACTTGAGCCACAAGTGCCAAGCCTAGTCCCACCTACTTGGGAGGCTGAGGCAAGAGAATCACTTGAACCCAAGAGTTTGAGGTTACTGTGAGCAAAGACACCACAGTACTCTACCAAGGGTGACCAAGTAAGATTGTCTCAAAAAAAAAAAAAAAGTGAGTAGCTCGCCATAAATAGGACATACATATAAGTTGTTGTTTAGGGAATGATATGAGGTTACTGTGAGCCAATCTCTACAAGTTAGTTGGATGATTTAGAGGTAGGACCTGTTTTTTTGTTTGTTTTTTTTTTCTTGAGACAGAGCCTCAAGCTGTTGTCCTGGGTAGAGTGCCCTGGCATCACAGTTCACAGCAACCTTCAACTCCTGGGCTCAAGCGAGTTTCCTGCCTCTACCTCCCAAGTAGCTGGGACTACAGGCACCCGCCACAACAGCACAGCTATTTTTTGGTTGCAGCCATTATTGTTGTTTGGTGGGCTGGGCTGGATTCTAACTGGCCAGCTTAGGTATGTATGGCTGGCACCTTAGCTGCTTGAGCCACAGGCACCGAGCCAGGACTTGTGTGGTTTTTAGCAGTAGATGTTTCTTCCCTTTGTGGCATTGCCATTTTGTGACTGTCCTTGGCTAGCAAAGCACGATTATTTTTTACAGTTCTGCCAAGTTTTAGTAACCCTTTTTAGAGATCTATGATTACCTCATTTCCTTTAAGTATGTATATGAGTGAATAAGCAAGAAAGGACAAAACGCCCATCAATATACAAGTGAATTAATAAAATGTAGTATATGTGTACCATGAAGTACTATTCAGCCGTAAAATATGGTGACCTAGCATCTTTTGTAACAACCTAGATAGAACTAGAGGCCGTTCTTCTAAAGAGAAGTCACCACATGTACTCAATACTTAATTGGACTAGATGATCAACATTTATGTTCTTATAGAAGTAAACCTCAACGGGAATCAAGATGGGACAGGGAAGGAGGGAGTTGGGTTAATTCATCCCTCTAACTTGCACAACATATACATTCTGGGTGAAGGGCATGCTTATAACTTTGACTTAAAATGAACAAAAGCCCTAGGTTACACACAAGAGACTGGTTCCTTGTTCTTCTGCCTAGGGGAAGTCCCCGGACCTCGGGCAGAGAGTGCTGCGTGCACCCACACTTAGACGTCCCTCTGTTTCTCACTGTTAAAACTAAAACCCGCCAAGAAGCAAATCTCCCTGAGCGGCATGGCGCAGAGGCATTGTCTGTCAACTCCACCAGTAAACACAGGCAGTGCGTGTCTTAGCGCGCCGACCACACTGGGCTCATTCTCAGCGCAGCTGCTTTATTTAAAAAAAATATATATATATATATATATTTATTTATTTAAATAAAATGTACAAAAGCATATTATGTAACCAAAATGTGTATATTGGCTTAGCGCCTGTAGCATATTATGTAACCAAAATGTATTAATTGGCTCAGCACCTATAGCTCAGTGGTTATGGCACCTGCCACATATACCTGGGCTGGCGGGTTCAAACCCAGCCTAGGCCTGCCAAACAACAATGACAATGACAACAAGAAAATAGCTGGCGTTGTGGCAGGCACCTGTAATCCCAGCTACTTGGGAGGCTAAGGCAGGAGAATCACTTAAGCGCAGGAGTTAGAGGTTGCTGTGAGCTGTGATGCCACATCACTCTACCAACAGTGACATAGTGAGACTGCCTCAAAAAGGAAAAAAAAACCCAAAATATGTATATCCCAATAATATTCTGAAATTTTTTTTTTTTTTTTTTGAGACAGAGCCTCAAGCTATCCCACTGGGTAGAGTACTGTGGCATCACAGCTTACAGCAACCTCCAACTCCTGGGCTCAAGCAAGTCTCCTGCCTCAGCCTCCCAAGTAGCTGGGACCACAGGCACCTGCCACAATGCCCAGCTATTTTTTGTTTACAGCTGCCATTGTTGTTTGGCAGGCCTAGGCTGGATTTGAACCCACCACCTTAGGTATATGTGGCTGGCGCATTAGCCACTTGAGCCACAGGCTCCAAGTCAATATTCTGAAATTTAAAAAAAGAAAGAAAGGACAAATTTTGCTGATTGTACTTCCATAGTTCATAACACTGAAGACTGAATAGTGATAGAAATTGAAGAAAGGATTAAAGCTTTAAAAGAGGATCAAAAGAAAATAATACTTAGCAATCAGAAATAGTTCTTGAATGAAAAATTTGGAAACTTAGATACTATTGCTAGAAGTATGAAGGAGATGAGAATAAATCTTGAGCTTTATTTAAGGATTATAGAATGAAACAAAAGGAGAGGGGCCAGGCGCTGTGGCCCTCACCTATAATCCCAGCACTCTGGGAGGCTGATGATGCGAGTGGAACACCTGAGCTCACAGGTTCCAGACCAGCCTGAGCCAGAGTGAGACCTCATCTCTAAAAACAGTGGGGCGTTGTGGTGGGTGCTTGTAGTCCAACTACTGGGGAGGCTGAGGCAAGAGAATCTTTTAAGCCCAAGAGTTTGAGGTTGCTGTGAGCTGTGATGCAACAGCACTCTACTGAGGGCGACATAATGAAATTCTCTCTCAAAAAAAAAGAAAGAAAGAAACTAAAGGAAAAGAGATGGAAATGAAGATAGCAAATAAAATATACATAAGGCTCAGTACTGTGGCTCAGTGTGTAGGGTGCTGGCCCCGTATACCGAGGGTGGCAAGTTCAAACCCGGCCCTGGCCAAACTGCAACAAAAAAAATAGCCGGGGCTCGGTGCCTGTGGCTCAAGTGGCTAAGGCGCCAGCCACATACACCTAAGGTGGCAGGTTCGCGTCCAGCCGGGGCCTGCCAAACAGCAATGATGGCTGCAACCGAAAAAAAAAATGGCCGGGCATTGTGGCGGGCGCCTGTGGTCCCAGCTGCTTGGGAGGCAGAGGCAGGAGACTCGCTTGAGCCCAGGAGTTGGAGGTTGCTGTGAACTATGCCACGGCACTCTACCCAGGGAGACAGCTTGAGACTCTGTCTCAAAAAAAAAAAATAGCTGGGCATTTGGGCGTCTGCATTCCCAGCTAGTCCGGAGGCTGAGGCAAGAGAATCGCCTAAGCCCAGAAGTTGGAGGTTGCTGTAAGCTGTGTGATACCATGGCACTCTACCAAGGGCAATGAAGTGAGATTCTGTCCCTACAAAAATAAAGAAAAAAGGAAAAAAAAATACATAAACTAGAACTGATAAGAAGAAACATAAAATTCGAAAAATTTTCATTTCAATAGCTATGATAATGATTACAATAAAGAATCTGTAAGTATTCAAGGCAATAAGAATAGATTAATTATATTGATAATTTTTTTGTGTGTGTGCAGTTTTTGGTCAGAGCTGGGTTTGAACCTGCCACCTCCAGCATATACCCTACTGCTTTGAGCCACAGGCGCCACCCTATATTGATAAATATTAATGGTTAAGGAAGTATCACTTGTTTACCACCCCAACACAGCATTCTGAATAAAGCTATATGAAAGTTATCTGAATAAAGCTAAATTAAATGCCTGCTCCATGTTAGTATACTGATCTAAAAAATGTTTCAGTTGAGTCTTTGCTGCCTATGGATTGCTCAAGGGAATGTTAACTGTGTCCTATACCCTGTTTCCTTCATTCTTCTTAAAGAAGGCTTTTAGTTGGAGGTAGGAATTGCCCTTTTTCTTTTTTTCTTTCTTTCTTTTTTTTTTTTTTTTTTTTTTT